GTCCACGTTTCACATCCATATAGGAGAATGGAGACTACCAGCGATTTGTACAGAATGGACTTTGTTTGAAAGCTGATTTTGCTCCGCCATATTCTTATCAATTTGATCATGGTTGCCATGGCTGCGGCAATCCGTTTAAGGATTTACGAGTTATTGATACCATCTTGGATCTCTCTCTCTCTCTCTGTATCTGCCAAGAGTGTCCACGTTTCACATCCATATAGGAGAATGGAGACTAGCAGCGATTTGTACAATCTGTACTTCGTTTGAAAGCTGATTTTGCTCCTACATATTCTTGCCAGTTTGGCCATCACTACCACTCTTTTCTTTATTTGTGATAAAATGTTCGCGTTGCTTGATATTTTACTTTGCTTTTGGAAGGCATCTTTCACTATTCCGAATCTATGAAATGTTATTCACATCTCACCTCAGAATTCAAACTGAAAATCGGAAGGCCGAAGAAGCCATCTACCGAAACGTGATGCTAAAAATAAGTGTTTAAATAACTCATGATGTCATTCTTCTTAGACATTCGAACGGAATTTATGGAATTTTCCGAATGTCATATAAAGAGAAGGGATTTTTAAAAAATTACTAATGTTCATCTAATCGAGGAAGCATCCAGAAAGTAACAATTCAGATGCACTACATTGTTTAGTTACATCGGTTCTTACCTTCACGTTTAAGAAGCGCCATGTCTGTCCCATTGTAGCGAACCGCCCCCATTCACTTTGTATGTCATTGGTAATAGGCCAGTTACATTCAAGCAGCTTCTTCCCACGAATAACTATTAAGTGATTGCTTCCCTGTTGAATATAATCTTAACCTGTTCAAGTCAAGGGCCAACGGTTATCTTCCCAACATATCCTTTTAAATTGTGCCTCTTACTCTGTAAACTTCTATCTCGAGTGGCTCTTGGGCCTTGAACTGAGTGTACTTCATTCTTACAATGGGGATTGGGGAAATGTGTGTGATTTGAAACCGTCGCTGTAGCATGTCGATTGCTCGTTATAAAGGTCTGAACTGGCGTGAAGTAAAATAATGGATCTCGTCTGAATATTTGCCAGTGGAAATGCAATATAGTAGCGGTAGACCTGCAACTTTGCGTCTGTGTGGAAAGAGCCTGTAGAGTGGAAAATAAGATGTCCCCTACAAGAGCACATACTCAATTTTGTAAGAGAAGATTGAGCAGCTGCAACCCAGAAATAGCAGCGATTCTTTCTTTTTGGTCTAATCTGATTTTTGTAAAGATTAAGCATGGCAGAAGTAGAGGCCGACCATTTCTCCAGAATCTTTAGCAATGGATGTGAGAGAATCTAAAATCAACTCGCTTTGCATAGCAATAATTCGCAGAATTTTGATCGATATTCGGACGGACGCAAGAAATCGTTTTTGTCATTTATTGCATGTGAAAGAACATGACATTTCTTTTGTTCCCGACAAAGACGCAGAACTTGTGACATCTGCTGGAGATGTCAGGAACCAGAAAGGGAGTTAATCTTTCTTACCAAAACAGGAGACACGAAAGGACATTGCTATTATTCTGGGGTTCGGCGGCAGTAGACTTAAGACTTTATGATATTTGGCGTTTGAACGTTGCATAATTTGATGTTACATATGAAGTTGAATACAAAATCCAAAGCTTTTAGCATTTATCCAGCAAAGGCGAAATACATAAGCTAATGCAATGTGTTGGAAAAGGGCATTATATATATATATATATATATATATATATATATATATATATATATGACTTTAGATATCAAGAAACAGTATTGAAAAATAGTATGATAAATTAAAAAAAAAAAACAAGTGCAAGTAGTACAAAACTATATGTTGTTCATTAGTACAAGTATTTATACTAAGTTGTGCGTTGTTATCCATCACCGTAATTTTTTCATTATGCTTTTAAATGCAAAATGGTTCACAATGTGCTGAGCGTTCAGTTCATTAAAACGTGAAAAAAAATTATCCATTACGGAATATTTTCATATTAGAATGTCATGGTCGTTGCGCGCATTAAAGCATGAAAAAAACTGTTTCTTTACAGGCATTTCAGAACATTACTGTAGTATTCATAGTTGATTCTGTTCAGTGCCGGATTTAAATGTTTTTTATATAAATTGCTTCTAGCATCTGTAATCTGAATTTGTCGTTTTCATGGGCGAGGATAGTTGTGTAATCGATTAGTAATATATACATACATATATACATACATATATACACATTTATACATACACACAACTATATACATACATACACACATTTAATTATACATACACACACATATATATATACATGCACATGAATATATATACATGCACATTATATATATATATATATATATATATATATATATATATATATATATATATATAATTACAAAAATGTGTCAGTCCGTGGTACAAGTGCAGCGTTGGTGAACAACGCAGATCAGGGGTTGAAATATATTTTCAAAATAAAATGAGACATTGTGAGATTAAACAGGGATTTGAGTTTACTCAGAAAATATAACTTCCCCAGGGAGCCTCTAACCAACAACGACAGCATTCTAAGGAAGAGTCAGGAATGTTTTCAGGAGCTTTTTTGCAGTTCATGGATTTCATCTATCTTTTAAACTAAGAGAAGAATATGTATATATATATATATATATATATATATATATATATATATATATATATATATATATATATATATATATATATATATATATATATATATATATATATATATATATATATATATATATATATATATATATATATATATATATATGTATATATATAAATATATATATATATAATATATATATAAATATAAATATATATATGAATATATATCGGAATTCAAAACCTGCGGAGTGTCGTTTTGGAACCATTGGGCTCTTCAAACATGTGGTTGGTTCCTTCACCTCTATAATTAAAACACATGTGCAGGTGTGTGGCCGTCAGTTCCTATGTACTGAGTTGCTTGACACACATCGTCGAAAAAGCAACGGGAGAGTCCAGTATATATATATATATATATATATATATATATAGATATATAGATAGTCGAGATTCGACGTATGAGGGTCAAGCAGATCAGTTTCCAGAAAACCGACAGCGACACATTTGATTATAGTGGTGAAGGCCACTACACAGGACAGCCACACTTTTTGAAGAGACGAATACAGAGACCTGGTGCACTAAGTGCCACAAGGTTCCTAAACGACCCTCCGCAGGTTTTGAATTCTGTGTTGTCCTTCTCCTAGACCAGTTACCATCCAAGGCTATAGAACCCAGTCTGTCCTGCTATTTTACCCATAGGATTCATACCTTTCCCAAGGGTATTAGCACGTAAGTGAATGTAATGGATGCGACTGGAATTCGAACTCGGCTCTGCGATTCCTCAATCCAAGCCGCTATCCATTACTCCACCGTGCCTCTTTTTTATTTATTTATATATATATATAGAGTCTGGTTTCTTCCTACTTGTAAGTTATATGTAAGTGTTGTAGTGGGTCAAACCTCATTGGGTATTCCACACTTATCAGATTAAACTAGATTTTTGATTGATTCACTTTGGAATCTAATCAGGAATTACGGCCTTAGTTTGTCAGGTACACTCTAGTAGGTTGTATCGACTCCTTCTGCCAGCCTTTATTTTTGCAAGAGTCAGATTAGACCAAAAATGGCGTACCGATGTCATTTCTGGGTTGAAGCTTCTCAATCTGATATTTAGAACCTTGACAGAGTTCAAAATCATTTCCGAGCTCTGGTAGAGAGGGGGGCCTATTTTAACTTATTCAGCCTCTTTCTCATAGATTCATCAATGAAAGCCGGCCATCAGTTCGTCGCTATTTCCATTGCAAATGTTCAGATACGCCTTACTCTGTACTTGCATCAATTCCCGACCTTTTACTGCTAGGACACTCTATAATACGTTCAAGGAGTCGAATCGCTCTTATTTCCCCCGTATTCCAATTGTAAGGAGAAAATTTCACTCAGTCAGCTTTTGACCCAAGAACTGCTACTTCGAGGAATAGGCTCCCGCGTGGATGCTTCCCTTAACATTACAATCTGAACTATTTCCAGTTAAGGTTCCCTCGTTATGCATCCCCCTTTCTATCTACCTTTTACATTAATATCCCACACCTTATTCAGTAATCGCTATCCCTTGAGCCTTGTTTCATGTTGAACAATACAGAATTTATCTATCAAAATTCCAACAAGGGATGCGGATTTTATAACCAACTTAACAAAGCTTCACAAATGTTCAATGTGCGCACCGCCTATGACACGGCCTACGTCAAATCGGTAGTCCAGCTTCTGCTGATCATGCTGTAGCATGTCTTGCGTAACATTCTCCAGCGCCTCAGTGATTCTCTGCTTAAGTTCCTCTAGACTTGTAGAAAAAGCCGGGTATAAACCGTTTTTTCACGTAGCCCCATTAAAAAAAGGAGCTAATCGGGGTAGCTACTCCAACAGCTCACTAGCACGCCAGATCCATCTTCCTGGAAGATTCCATTTTAGATAAGTCCGCATAATCAACTTAGTTTTTACAAATTTTGTTAAAATTTGAGATCATTTCAGCGAGATTTGGCTATGTTATTGGACTAAAAATGATGTCCAATTTTAGGGACATCCTGTATAATAAAGTACGAAGAATATTTTACAGAGAGCGTTTTACTGTATAGGAGCACCTAATATAAATTTAGATAAGTTAATGCTGGTCTTCCCTTCTGCTAATATGAGCAAGTTCTTGACTTATTTAATTAAACCGTTTTCTTCCGAACTTGGGTTATTGTGTGTGTGAAGAAGGATAGGGTGTTTGCTGATTTCACTCTTATAAATCAACTGGTTTTTCGTCTATTCATCGGGTTCAGCAATGTTGACATTAAGTTTTAAATTTTTTATTTTATACATGTCACTACCATTTATAAATGGGATATTAACACAAAGCGGACAACACTCTCTACAATCCTCCTTATTGGATCCGACGTCTCAAACATGTTCTAGTGGCGATTTCAAAATCGACGAGACGACAAAGACTGGAATGATCGTAGAAAACGCTGCAGATACTTGCGATGACCCACGTGTGACGAATTCTGAGCCAGAAAGCTCGCAATCCCTCGAGCCGAAAGATTCCTCTTCCGAAGGTGACGAAGAAGTCACTACCACCAACCCAAAGCAGACAGGCGTGCATTTTCTTCCCCTCCAATCAAAAGAGGCCAAAATATTCTTCCTGATTCTCTGTGCCATCGTTGTATTGCCATTTCTGTTTGGTCTCTGGGACCATTTGTGCGTCCGTCGCTCAAATCGGGAAGAAACTCCCAGTCTCAACTACTCGCTCGCTAATATTTCCGAAATTACGGATACTGGCACGCTTGGAAACCGTCTTGTTGCCCGAACGACACGACTGATGGCGCGCTTGATGAACTGGATTGTATTTCGTGAATTCATCCCGAGAACCATAGGGAACCAATCTCTCAACATCTCATTTAATTCCATGAATTCTAACCTTTCCCTGCCTCAACCACCTAGACGAAGCCTCCTTCAGAAACGTGACAAAGGAAGTTCTTCTATCCCTCCTCATTTTGAACAGTGAGTTATCGAACCCTTTTTTTTTTTTTTTTTTTTTTAAAAAAAAACTTCATATTAGTGCCAGTCTAAAGCGTAAAGTTCGCACTGAAATAGCTGCTTTTTCAGGTAAGGTCTCATTAATATCAAAACACCTTTATTCTAATCTAAGTAAAACTGTTATTAATGTGACTAATTACTTTGTACCATAAGTATATATGGATCAAAAGTAATTTTTAAGCTAGACTCTAAATTCCTTTTCATCTACTTCAAGTTGATCACCTCTTATACTGACTTTTCGAATAAACACGGGGTACGTGTCGCGTTGATTTAAAATTTAGTTTACTAAAATTTCAGAAAGGGGCCAAGTGTCCTCCATAAGACTGATAATAAATAAACGAAAAATGACCTGTATTTCTTGTCTTCAGGGAAATTGAAAATTGTAATGAACGAGGGGCCAGATAACGTGCTGGTGTTTTATCTTAGGTCTCAATTTTAATTTTACCCTTTTCGCAGTCTGAGAGGCAGGTTTACACCTTCCTGATGATGAGATTAAAAAATTTAAGCTCACCAGAATTTGTTCAGAAGTCTTTGTTACTAGCTATAGAATAAGTATTGCTACAGGTTGACTTTTAAAATATTTTTAATATCTTCTAAGTTATTTTTTCTTGTGGTGAGGTTGCAGTTAATTTTAAAGTTTATGAAAAATGTTACGTATTTAAATAAGAATATATTCTTTATAAAATCTTAGTCAGTAATCTTTTGAATGTTTTGTGCCTAGGAACTGCGCATTGTTCTAGTAGTATCTTCAACACTGACAATGTTTGGGATAAGTGAAATAAAATTAGACAAAATTTGGCTCATTTACTACAGCCCAAGTTTCGTTCCTTTACGTTTTACCAACATATCTGAAGTGACTGTTAACTGTGTATAATGGGATTAATTAAAACTGTATAACTATTGTTCTTTTTTATATACAATTTTGGCTAACGGGGTAGTATTGTCCTAAATCTTGTTAATCTGATTCGCGATTCATAACAAGAATTTTCTACATTTACGAAAATGACACTCACAGGAGGACTTATTACGATGTAATTAAAACTGAGGTACGCATCTGAGTATTATATACTTGTGTCCTCCGACTTTTATGCTCTAAGTATTCAACTGGCCTATGATGAACGGTGACGTTAGAACGGAATTATAATTTAAGAATTTATAAAGGCGGGCGTAATAATAAAAAATTTTTTTTTTTTTTTTTTTTTACGGGTTGGATGTGTCCTAACAGTTGTCTTGATGTTTCATTTGTGGTTCATTCCTTCCACACGTATTCTTCTTTGGATTTTTATATATAATTTATTATCAAATTTTTATGGCATGGGGCGCGTTTTGTAGAGAGGATATGGTGTATGGAGGATTGATTGCTGACGGACGAGTTTTTTATGTCGAATGTGGAAATTGTAATGAGTGACTGGGTCATGAATCAGATTAGCTACGAATAAGATCGACCAGCATAACCCTCCCCTTTTTTAGGCCTTGTGCCATAATTGTGTAATTTTGACACAAATACCAATAAAAAAATACCCTACTGGTGCCTGTAAATACTGGCAAACACCTGATTGAAATAATATTAATTTCAAGCCCCTGAAAATCGTTGAAATTCTCCGCTCTAAGACCAGCCCTTTACACTCGTAAAACTATACAGTATTGAATAGATCTAGAATTTTCAAGACCTTCTTTTTGTCAGTCAAAAATTTAAACTGATTTAAATTCTACGTCCAAATACGAAAGCGGAATAAAGACTTGTGTATGACTCTTGACTAAAAAATTTATTACGTAAAATAAAACCAATACTAGGAATGTGGCAGAGCTACACACTCTCCAGGAAAACATTGACGCTGACCAGACACTGCTTATTAGACGCATCTATCACTCACTCGTAACTTCTAAAAAGGGAGGAAGCCCCACTGTGCTTGGAATGCCTGAAAGAATACACTGTAAACGATATGCTGACATGTAAGAACCTGAAACTATCCTGAATCAAATGACCAAACAATTAACCCGAAAGAACTCTTTACCAGGGTCCATCTGCATAACATTTTTAACTTAATAGCAACACATTTATACCAATATTAAAAAAAATAACCTCTGTATTCTAACATAAGTACAGTTTATAAATACAAAAAAAATAGATACTGCTTTTAATACTACAGTAATGTTAAGCAACATAATTTCACTCCGAAATAATAATACATGTATCTGTCGGTAACTTTAATCGTTGTAATTAGAGCTGAAAATAACTAAATCGTCGAACGCTAAATAAAAGGCCTGTAACCTTCCCAATATTCCAAAATGTTTAGTCGGTTATTTTCCTACAATATTATCGTCTTTTTCTTTTTAAATGCAATAAGATAAATATATACCATGGGACTTTTAATTAATTCCAATAGGACTGACGTAAATTTAAAATCTAATTACATAAAGATGAACTAAATATTTTACTGGAAAACGCATTCCAATATTAATTTGTTTTTTATTCAAACATTCAGTATATAATTATATATATATATATATATATATATATATATATATATATATATATATATATATATATATATATTTATTTCGAATAACCAAGATTTCCTTACAATTTACTTTTTCGTCGTAACGTATGCCACTATTTTGTCAAGAGTGGCGCCAAATGATGCTAGTAAGGTAGATTCAGGGAAGCTAATCGGTCTGAACACTTCAGCGTAAAAGTTGACACGGTCTTATTTACAGTTTTTCTTTTGGAATTTGAGCTCCTCTCAGAGTGGAAAAGGCATTAGTTTCGTTGACTATTAATTAGTGAATGCAGTCCTTGCTAGGTACCAAACGAAGATAATCTCAGTCCCTTTATGGTACTGAAGATGAAAATTAATCAAATTTCACTTCCAGGGTCTGTGACATGCTCAGATTGTGTCTTCCCTCTTGCAATTAAGGCAAGAAGGTCGTTCAACCTAAAGCATTTAAAGTGCTATCATGGACCGAACTGTGAGGGCAAACAAAGTTCTATAAACAATGGAAACATAAGAAATTTATACTTAACTTCAGGAAAAAGACAGTTCAAATTCATAATATACTTAGTGCGGAAAGAGGGCTTGGAAAATTGGATACTCAGGACAGATGGAATTTAAAAGAAACGGAGGCAAGTATGAATAAACGGATGGCGAAGATTTCGAAGAGATTGAAAAAAACGGAAAATTTATTAAAAGCTAAAAAGAAATAGTAGAGAGCCATAATCGCCAAAGTAGTGAAGGGATATTGCACCTAGGTTTTCTTATGACCTTGTCAGACCCGCCGTCGCGAGCTGCAGTGTGCATTCGTATTTTAACCTAAAAAAATAATCAGCGTTACACATTCGGCATGGTCTTTTTGATGTCCTACTTTTTGGAACGCAATATTTCTTTACCAAAATCAAATCCACGTGAATGGCCTCGTCAAATTCTCTTTGAATTCGTTTTCTTATCAATTGTCTGTATTTTGTCTTTGAATTTATTCTGACAAACATATCTAATTGAATCCTAGGTTGCCAATGTCGACTTTTCTGTAGCCCAAAACCCAATGGAAAAATAAGGCCTTTCCATAGCTTTACTCTTTAGGAAAAAAAAAAGGAAATGTTTCCTTCATAGATATCGGGCAATTTTTATTTTTATTTTTTATTTGTGAAGAGGAAAGTCCTATATATCTGTGGCTCTTTCTTAAACTAGGGCGCCAAATAAGATTTAGAAGCACCGGTGGGAAAGGTAAAAATGCTGCCATGCAAACTCCAATGTTCATTTTTATTTTATTTATTTTATTTTATTTTTTATTTTTTACCCAGAATCTTGACACGTTTATGATACTTAAGCCTTGCAATGTGGGGAGGTTTATTACTAACACTATTTTCTTTAGTTTCTTGTATATTCAATGAAAATAGACACTGGGATGTCTTTTTTTAAGTTGTACCCCTCTCCCACAGGCAAATTGTATATATGAGGACTAGTTAGGAATTTGAGGTATTATGGTGGCTGTAGTAAGAATGTTTTGGTCAGTGACTTTTGGCTAGCAAACTTTAAGTTAAGACAGAAGGCCAGCCTTCCCCAATCCACACTTTTGGCCTTGTGCCACATTTCTTGTATATTACCGGAAATAAATAGTAAAGCCTTGCAATTTGATATTTCAGGGAGACTTCGTCTGCGGAAGAGAGAGAAATGACCCAAGAATGACTACTTACCGATACTTTCGCGTTTACTGGATATTTTTAAGAGATTAACCCCGAAGTTCAACTGCAGCGGTCATTTCATTAATCAGAGCTGTTTAACAGCTCTAATTTTAGAAATTAGTAAAAGTTTAAAAAAAAAAACAAATCTTCATAATTGAAACTGTTCTAATTTTATCGCAACCCAACTGGAAACAAAGACAATTAGAAACAAAATGATGCTAAAGAGATTAAAAAAAAAAATTTTGTTTTAAATTGCGATGTTTGTCTGGGCAAAATAGAAATTTTTAACTTTTGGATATAATCAATCCAGGAAAAATAGTTTTACTACATCTGTTCGCTCCCCCCCTTTAGTAGTTGTAACATTGTATGTATTTCTGTATATTTGATACGGATAACAGCTTTTATTAATCAGTTACATTATTTTTTTCCTTTTAGACGCTTTTTTTGTAGACTTGTTGCTATTCTTTTAACTACGTACCTCCATTTTTCGCAGAAAACAGCATAGCGTAAGGAAAAAGGCCACAAACTTAATAAAATTAAAGTTTTCTCAATGTTTGATATCATTAAGATGAAAGACCAAAGTATTTTTTATTATTTTTTGAATTTTTTTTTTAATCCTTTGTAAAACGTTCGAAATTTTAGTTAAAATCTTTTTTCTTAGGTCATCGTGGTGGCATGAAAATAACGTTGACTTTTTGCGCTTTTTTTCCATTGAAAACACTGAGTTTTTTTTTTTTTTTTTTTTTTTTTGAAAGAAATAAAATTATTCCGATGAATAATGATATTTT